ATGCGACGTGGCAAGATCAAACATTTGGTCATGTCGCCGCTGGGCGGTGTTTCGAAGGCTATAGCCGATCGGCAATCTTCTCTAAATCCCACGACGTTCAAAGTTGTTACGGCCAGCGGCTACAAGCGATGTCTTGCACTTGTCGTGTTTTTTATTCCTCTCCCTAACGGGCATTAAGCAGGCATCACGACAATAATTGTCCTCCAGACAACGGTTAAGTAATATGACCCAGACTCGAGAGTATGACTTGCGAAAATTATATTCGGTCACGGTGCCAATTACTCGACGCAGAATCAGCTAGGCCAGCAGCCTAAGATATTCATGATAACTACAGCAACTATGCCGATAGACAGTGACAGTTATAGAAGGAGCTTGGAAGGAACTCAACTCTGGAGTTCATGATAGACAATCATAGCAAACCCTATAGATTCATAGACACCGGAAGTGCATCAAAGACCCATATAGATTGACGGCATGTCTTTATAGACCACCGTAGACCTGCAAAGACCAAGAAAATGGCCGATGTGTCTTTATAGAATTTCAAATTTTCCTGATGCACAGACGGCCGCGCCACTAACGACTTGAGCACGCGCGCTTGCGCGGCGCGCGGCACGTTCACGCCCGTGCAGTCCGATTTTCACTCAGCCTCTACACCGGGGTACCCTCTTCACTGGGTGAGCCCGGACTCGGATTGCTCTCGGACTTGGACTTGTACATGTACATTACATAATTGTCCGAATAGCCAATTTCGTTGTGCAGTTCGAGGTCGGGCGAGGTCTGTCTGCCTCCGCGCGAATACAACCCGTTTCGGGAAATGGGAATTAGAAAAAAAATCATCGACCTCACCATATGCCGCTGCGAGGAATCGAACCTCGGCCTCCCTCTTGCAACCGAACGAACTTACGCCTTACGAATTGCGATCGCCATGACCTAGCTCAGTAGCGGGATGAATAAGTAGGAGCGGATGAGAGATGGTACACAAAAATGGATCTGGCTCTCATCTATGCCGCCGGAAGGAGTCGAACCTCCGTCTCTCTCATGTGATGGTTTGGCCTCAATAATTGATGGGGGGGGGGGGGGGGCCACCGTGGTCCACGACGGCTTACCTAGCTTGGTATTGGGTTGAATAAGTGAGTGCATGTAAGTCAAAAAAATCTACGCACTGACCCATGCCGCCGGGAGAAACCGAACCTCCGGCGCTCTCATGCAATAGATTCGACCATGATAATTGAGTACGGGCGACCACCATGGTCTACAACGGAGTATTTGGCTAGCCAGCGAGTTGAATAAGAGTGCATGTAAGTCAAAAAAACCTATGCACTGAATGCCCATGCTGCCGGAAGGAGTCGAACCTCGGGCTCCCTCATGCAATAGTCTAGACCTCGATTATTGACGGAGGACGCCCTTCGTGGTCTGCCCTATTTGGCTAGCTCGAAATAAGTGAGTGAGTAAATTGCGGGGAAGCGCTCGAGGCATGCGGCCGGGAGGAATCGAACGGCTCCTACCTGCAGTCCGCTTTTGGATGAATAATGAGCGACAGGACCAACATGGTTCAGACGGCTTATCTATCTCGGTAGTGGGTTGAATAAGTAGGTGCATGTAAGTCAAAAAGATCTCCGTGATGAATAGCCATGCCGCCGGGAAGAATCGAACCCCCGTCTCCCTCATGCAATCTTGACGGAGGGTGACCACCGTGGTCCACGACGGCGTATTTGACTAGCTACCGGATTGAATAAGTTAGTGAGAGAAGTAGAGAGGGCAGGCGAAGAAGCACGAGCCCGCTCATGTATTCTATTCCTCTTACAACTGCGCTCTGGCTGGATTCAATCAAGGCAAGCGCCATGGGTCCGCAACGGCTCATTGTCACCCATATCGCACTCGATGAATTCGGCCGGAGCTTGGAGCTCGAGGTGGAGGCGAAAAAAAAACCTCCTGAACGCGCCCCATGCCGCCGGGAGGAATCGAACCCCCGGCTCCCTCATGTAATTTGTTCGGCACCGAAAATTAACGGAGGGCGACCTCCGTGGTCCACGACGGCGTATTTGACTAGCTGGTGGGGTGAGTAAGTGAGTGCGTAGATTAGAGAGATGAATTGAAGGAAAAAGACGCGGGCGACAACATGCCGCCGGGAGGAGTCGAATCCCCGTCTCTGTCTTGCATAGTGAGACCATCGCCATGAATTGAATTGAAAGACGGCGATCGCCATGATCTACGACGGCGTACCTAGCTCGGTAGCGGGTTGGATAAGTTAGCGCGTAAATTGCATTGACGACAAAAAATGTCACGAGTCCACACATGCCGCCGGGAGGAATCGAACCCCCAAGTCCCTCTGGTGAAGACTTTAGCACGCGTATTCAGTGAGGGTGACCGCCATAGTCTACGACGGCTTAGCTCCCTCGCCGGGGGGTTGAATAAGTTAGCGCGGGGATGAGCGAGGGAAGGCCAAAAAGAAATCTTCGTTACAAGCCAGCGAAGCACGAGCTTCCATTCCTTTGTAGTGTCTGTCTATAAGAGACTAGATCCTGGTGCGCTCCTGCGCTGCCACTAGCTTCAACTCTAATCGAGCCGTCTTCAAAGGCCCATGAGTGGTAAGCCTGTTCGGGGAAATGCAGCGGTGCTCCAAATTTCAGCATCTGATTCCCTACCATCTCCAGGCAAATAGTTCGTTTTCGACGGCGACCTTGGAAGCTCTTGACATGGCGGTTGAGGACAAAGTGTGTGAGAGTGACGTAGCTTTGCGTGACGGATCAGTGATGAGTGATCTCAGGAATCATCCGACTCGGAGGCGAGCCCTTTGCGTCTCCGACCAAGGGGGTGCTGATCCGTGAATGGCGGACCAGGTGTCGGTCGGTTGGTTTGGCCGTCAAGCCGGAATTTTTTTTCTGGGAACCACAGTTTGGGGGGCTGGAAAGTGGTCTATCCGACTTCGGTGAGCCTCCAGATATTCATAAAAGGCTCTCTGAGCTTCATGGAAGGCTATCTTGCCTCCCGAAGACCAAATTGCCCGATTCGGACATGGGTTTGGTTGGTTGATGTGTGAAAAACTGGTTGACTTGCATGTCAAAAATCAAATGAATGTCACAGCTGCCAGTAATCATACCAAAAATGAGAAGCAGGCATCAGGCGACACTCTCTTGATGACACTCAGTGAAAGCTTGAGACTGGACAAAAAATATGCAGTAACTCCAGAATTAGTATGGAAGGACATCTTGAAGGTAAAACTGTACTTTTGGCTGGATTTCATGGCAGGAGAGATGTTGGGCGCGAGCTGGCAAGATTTGAACGTGACACACGTGATAAATTCCCTTATGGGGATATTACATGGTTGGTCCGCCGAGCAGGACAGATTTTCAAAAACCGACACCGGTTCCGTTATTCACAGATCGGCACCCCCTTGTCTCCGACTCGGTTTATGCAGAACTTGTACAGAACACAAAATCACCGATGCCTTAACCTACCGCGAACTCGGATGGTTTACTGGCGTGCTGGAGGTCACTCGAAAACCATGGCGCCCATCTCAATGCACCATCTCTATTTCACGGCTCCAACTGAAGCAACGACGCCCACCTCCGAGTGTGACGACAACGGGAACCTCAGCGTGCGCACGCCATATCCGATGAACATAGACGGCAGCGCGACGAACGATTTTAGCGCGCGCGCGTACGCGGTGCGCGGCACGCTCACGCCCGTGCAGTCCACTCGGCCTCCACGCCGGGGGCCATTCCACGTCGGGTGAGCATTCACACTCGCCCTCGGGATCGTCCGAAGCCCTGCCAGTGCTACGGCCCGTTGTCCGACGCCTCCACCGGCGCAACCTCCGCCGCGCCGCCCTCGCCCCCCGCAGAGAAGCACCGTCACACGCAACTCATCGACCCCGGGGTAGTTCCCCTCCCGAGCGTCGCGCCATTCGTCTCAGCGCTCGTGCCCACCCATCCAACTGTAGCTACCTCTCCCTCCGCGCACGCCGCCTCCCCCTCCGTATCAAGCTCCTCCGGCTCCGGCTCCGTCAGCTCGCCCTCCACCGCGAGCACAATGACCACCCCACCCTCCTCGCCCGCATCTGTAAAATCCCCCTCGGGCTTCGCGCGCTGGGTCTCCCTCCGCCGCCCGGCTCCAAAACGTCGAGCCCGCCGTCCGCCCCGCCGTCGGCTTTCGGGTAGTCCGCCACGGGGCGCGCGAGCCTCGACGTGCCGCCGACCTACCAGTTCGCACCGATGGCGCAGCCCGAGGCGCCGCCAACGCCGAAGTGCCGCGCGTCGCTCCGGCGCACGCTTCGCGGCGAGGCGAAGTTGCTCAGCGGGAAGATGCGGCGCGACCCCGCGCGCGTGGAGGCGGGGCGGCGCATGATGGGCGGCGCGTGAGGGGTCCTTCCTTATTCATGGGGCGCTTCCTCGTTAGTGAGGCTTCTTCATTATGTGGTGTGTGCGCGTGCGTTCAACGGACTAAAACCGAGCTTGGACTCGGATTGCTCTCGGACTTGGACTCGTATGTACGTACGTACGCTGCCGCTCCTCTGTATATCTACGTGTAATTTTAATGAGACTCCTACTTCGACTGATTCCCCTCCTGGTTCAAGAAGGGCGGTCTGAAGTTGAAGGGGGCACGTACTCTCAGCGCGAATACAACCTTGTTCGGGAAATAGGAAGGAAACCAAAAAGAACTCAAACAAATGCCGCCTCGAGGAATCGAATCTCGGCCTCCCTCCTGCAATCTTTATTCCAGCCCTGAATTGAGCAAGGACGATCACCATGATCGACGGCGGCTCATGTGTATACCGAACGCAGTTGATAAGCAGGTGCGTGAATTAGGGATGGAAGGCAACTTTCACCGAGGAATTATGAATGTCGTCGGCAGTCGAACCTCCACCTCCCTCGTGCAACTTTGAGTCGATAGTGTTCATTAAATGAGGGCGACCGCCCCACACACTAAGAAATTTTCGCGCGTACTCAAGCTTCGGTAAAATCTTACGGGCCATAGAAAAAAACTACCTTCATAGAATATGCCGTCAAGAGGAATCGAACCCCCGTCTCCCTGTTCAAGCTAATGCAGACAACTTTCAATTAAACGAGGGTGACCACCATGGTCCACGACGGCGTATCTCTTTAGCTAGCCGGTTAGATAGGTGAACAAGTAAATTAGAGAGGTAGATTGATTGATGGGAGGAAAGGAGAGAACAGCTCGACCGGCATGCCGTCGGGAGGATTCGAACCTCCCGCTCTCTCATGAAGGTCATAGGATCATCTTGAACAACGGAATGAAGGCGACCTCATGGTCCACGACGGCTCAGCTGCAGACCCAACGCAGTTGATAAGTGGGTGCGTTAATTAGAGAGGGAACTGCGGGGAACTGCGGCTCCCGTTTCACACCGGACTATGCGGCTTATTGATCGACGATGATCGCCGTGGCACAAACATTGGCAACAATTTCCTCACGCACCTGAGCTTCGGTATAAGCTTACGGACCACATGAAAAAAGAAATAAGGAAATCCCTCATGCCGTCGGGAGGAATCGAACCCCGTCTCCGTCAAGCGAATGCGAAGAAGTAGTCTATAATTGAATGAGGGCGACCTCGTGGTCCACGACGGTTTATCTAGCTCGCCAGTGGGTTGAATAAATTGGGGCGCAGATTAAAGATTAAAGAGGTGCCTGAGACAAAAAGACGCGCGCGACAACATGCCGTCGGGAGGAGTCGAACCTCCGGCTCCCTATTACGATACTATCATCTTGGGTCATCAAGTGAGGGCGACCACCATGGTCCACGACGGCGTATTTGCCTAATAGTGAGCGGGATTAATAAGTTAATGCGCAGATTAGAGAGCGTAGGCAAAAAAACTCAAGAAGCTACTCTTAGTTATGCCGCCGGGAGGAGTCGAACCCCCGTCTCCCTCATGTAATTTGCTCGGGACCGAAAATTAACGGAGGGTGACCACCGTGGTCCACGACGGCGTATTTGGCTAGCTAGCGGGGTGAATAAGCTTGTGCGCAGATTAGAGAGGCGCCTGAGGCAAAAAAAAGTCAAGACCTCACTTCATGCCGTCGTGAGGAGTCGAACCCCGGCTCCCTCACGTAATTGGCTTGAAACGGACAATTGACGGAGGGCGACTTCCGTGGTCCACGACGGCGTATTTGGCTAGCTATGTAGCGGGTTGAGTAGGTTAGTGCGCAGATTAGAGAGGCGCCTGAGGCAAAAAAAAAGTCAAGACCTCGCTTCATGCCGTCGGGGGGAGTCGAACCCCCGTCTCTGTCTTGCATAGGGCGACCATATCCATGAATTGAAAGACAGCGATTGCCATGATCTACGACGGCGTATTTACCTATCTAGCGGGGTGAATAAGTGAGCGAGTAAATGGGAGATTGGAAGACAGAAGTCTCAAGAGCGCAGGATGCCAATTGGTGAAGACGACGGCTGGTCTTCATCAATATGTGGCCTTGGAGATAAGCGGAGTAGCGGGTAGAAAAAGATATTGGTAGCACAGAATGTCGGAGGAAGGAATCGAGCCGGCTCTCCTGGAGTTGGCGAGTACTTGTTCCGCCGCGGTCGACGCCTCGTGCGCTCCTCCCCTGCCACTAGCTTCAATTCTAATCGAAGGCCCATGAGTGGCAAGCCTCTTCAACCGGGGAATGCAGTGGCACTCCAAGTTTGAGCATGTGAACCGACTATCTCCAGGCAATCGTTTTCGACGGTGACCATGGAATGGTGGTTGAGGCAAGGGTTGAGGACGAAGTGCGTGAGAGTGACGTTGCCTTGCGTGACTGATCAGTGATCTCCGGAATCATCCGAGCCAAAGCCTTTTGCGCCTCCTCAAGATCCTCCATGCCTTCGTCAACGAACCTTCCTATATAGCCCTCCGCGAGCTCGGAAGATGTACTGGCGTGCTGGAGGTCGCCCGAAAACCATGACGCCCATCCTCAATCCACCATCTCTATTTCACGGCTCCAATTGAAGCAACGACGCCAAATCGACGCCCATCTCCGACGACAATTGGAATCTTCGCGTGCGCACGCCATCCCTGATGAACGCAGACGGCAGTGCCGCGAGCGACTTCAGCACGCGCGCGTACGTGGGCTCGGGCTCATTGCGTGGCACGCTCACCCCCGTGCCGTCCGACTTTCACTCGGGCTCCATGCAGGGGGCCACTTCCTCGCCGGGTGAGCGCTGAGCATTCGCACTCGCCCTCGGGATCGTCCGAAGCCCTGCAACACGCCCTTGTCGGACGCCTCCACCGGCGCAACCTCCGCCGCTCTACCTTCTCCCCTCGCGGAGAAGCACCGCCGCACGCAGCTCATAGACCCCGGTGTCGTGTCCCTCCCGAGCGTTGCGTCCTTCGTTTCAGCGCTCGTGCTCACCCATCCAACTGTAGCTACCTCTCCCTCCGTGCACGCCGCCTCCCCATCCGTATCAAGCTCCTCCGGCTCCGGCTCCGTCAGCTCGCCCTCCACCGCGAGCCCAATGACCACCCCACCCTCCTCGCCGTCCTCGCCCGCATCCGTAAAATCACCTCGGGCTCCAAGGCGTCCGCCGGGCCCTCGGCGTTCGCCACGGCCACCCTCTGCGCGAGCGCCGACAGCGAGCGCCGACGCGCCGCCGACGTACCAGTTCACCCCGATGGCGCAGTCCGAGGCGGAGGCGCCGCCGCGCGTCGCTCCTGCGCACGCTTCGCGGCGAGGCGAAGGTCCTGAGCGGGAAGATGCGGCGCGACCCCGCGCGCGAGGAGGCGGGGCGGCGCATGATGGGCGGCGCGTGAGCGGTTCCTTCTTTGGCTTCCGTACATATTCATGGGGCGCTTCCTTGTTATGAGGTGTGCGCGTTAACGGACTAAAACTGAGCTTTGACTCGGATTGCTCTCGGACTTGCACTTGTTTGTACGTACATCAAGTACGCCGCCGCTCCTTTGTTTACATTATAGGAAACCGCCTCCGCGTACAAAGTACACTAAGGTAGCATAAACTACCTCGACTGTTCACGGACGAATCATATTTGCATGGAATTCCAATGAGACTCTTAATTCGACTGTTTCACTTCCTGGTTCAAGGGCAGTTTGTAGTTGAAGGGGGCACGTACTCTTATCGCGAACACGATCTATTTCGGGAAATAGGAAGGAAACCAAAACAAATGCCGCCGCGAGGAATTGAACCTCGGCCTCCCTCCTGCAATCCATATCACACCCGAATTACTGGGCAAGGACGATCGCCACGATCTACGGCGGCTCATCTGCATACCCAACGCAGTTGACAAGTGGGTGTGTAAATTAGGGATGGAAGGCAACTTTTACTGAGGAATTATGAATGTCACGGGCAGCAAGTTGGCAGTTGATCTGGGGTTCCCTTTATACACCGGACTATGCGGCTTGATACGTGAGGGTGACTACGGCTCACAACAAGAAAATTTCTCGCCTACTAGTACTCGCGCTTCGGTAAAATCTTGCGGGCCAATAAAAAAACCGCCTTCACGGAAACCCAATGCCGTCGGGGGGAATCGAACCTCCGCCTGGCTCGTACACCTTCCACTCTTTCTTGTGGTTCATTAAATGAGGGCGACCTCGTGGTCCACCACGGCTCATCTGCATGCCTAACGCAGTTGATAAGTGGGTGCGTAAATAGGGATGGAACCGACCCTGTGGCTCCGTTTCACACCGACGCTGCGGCTTATTGGATGAGTGGGTGAGGGTGACCACTGTCCACAACAGCGATTTTCTCGCGTACTCGAGCTTCGATAACATCTTGCGGGCCATATAAAAACTCCCCTCGCGGAGCCTACATGCCGTCGGAGGGAATCGAACACCCGTCTCCCTCATCAAGCCCGCACAGTAGTCTATAATTGAGTGAGGGCGACCCCATGGTCCACGATGGCTTCCTCGCCTAGATAGCGGGATGAATAAGTTTGTGTGTAAATTAAAAGTGGAAGGCAAAAAATGCCCGAGCTCATGTATGCCGTCGGGAGGAGTCGAACCCCTGGTTCCCTCTTGCAATCTTGAAACTGGATAATTGAGTGAGGGCGACCACCGTGGTCCACGACGGCGTATTTGTATGGGCTATATAGTGTGCAATAATTCGGGCCTAAAACATGAAAAGACACACATGTCAGGTCGACACCAGAGAATTGCACACAGCTTGTCTCTGCTGTAGAGCTTCCCAAAATCACACACCATGTGTTGATATGAAAAGATGACACAACTTGATTCTGGATTCTTTCAGTCCTCTCCCATTGCACCACCTGACTTGACTGCTAATTAACAGTGACCAGGCTAGCATGTAGGTGAAAGCGGAGTCAGACCTGGTCCATCATTTTCCGTTTGCTATCTGATCTCCTTTTCTTGTCATCTCTGTGGCCAGCTGTTGGATTGAATAAAGGATTGCAGTGGGGAGGCCTTCCCTGCACCTCAAGATTTTTGCTACATCAAATATCCTCTCAGAGCTACTGTACCTCTTCAACTTACGAATGGTACAGTTCCCATGAAGTCAGATGATTGGTTTGATAATGGCACGGGAAATTGAACATCAGCAGATGCCTTATTTTATTTCATTTTTGAAAGGCTAGTGGGTATCGTGATATCCTACTGTTTTCCCTGACTTTGGCCTGCGTGTTTTTGCTAGCTAGAAAATGAGGGTGTGTGTGTTTTCACAGAAAAAGATGTGTTACCCTGCATCGTTTCGCTACTAGTTCTCCAAACTTGAGTGTTTTAAACCCATTGCGGCTGAGGTGTGCACTAATTTAATTATTGCACAGTATATGTGCCATATATTTGGCTAGCTCGCGGGGTGAATAAGTGAACGAGTAAATTGCGTTGAAGGGAAAAAATCTGGCGAGCATGCTGCCGGGAGGAATCGGACGGCTCCTGTATGCAATGTGTTTTTGGATGAATAAGAGTGACAGGACCAACATGGTCCATGACGGCTTATTTACCTCTGTAGTGGGCTGAATAAGTGACACTGGGGGCAAGGTCCCATGCATGTGGAAACCACATGCTTTAAATGCATGTGGTCCACAGGTGGTCTGCCAGTTTTCAAAAGCAGACAAAGTCTCTTTCATCGACAAAGGGTAGACAAAGAGCAGACAAAGGGCAGGCAATTTTTCCCGCCACCCCCAAAAAAAT